ATATATATATATATATATATATATATATATATATATATATATATATTTGATTCATTGGTAGATTGACGACATCTTTTATTGAATAATACCACAAGTCTCACTCACATAAGTAACACTGGCATGTGGCCTTTAATGGTAGACAATTACTTTGGGAAGAGAGAAGAAACACGGGAGATCTCGTTTGCTAAGTCAGTTGACCACCCTGCAATTGCCACGTATCTCTCCTGCCCTCCCGGTGAGGACTCCAATACCGCCCATCTTCACCATGGCCGCTGCAAACTCGCTCTTGAAGACCACAGAGTTGGTCGCCAGCAGAGTCACCTTCGCCGCCGAGGAGGCCGTCGACACCAGCGTTTGGTCAGAAGAGAACAGACCACGGTGCTTCAAGATGCCTTGGTAGTAGCTGGTGTCGAAGACGAGGGGGCTCGGCGGATCCATGTTCACCTCGTTGTTGCTCCCCGGAGGGCACTCCTCCTTCAGCTCGGCGGCGTAGCTCGCGTCCAGCGTCGGGTCACTGCTCGAACTCCGGCTGAAGTTGTACAGCCTGTTGGAGAACGAGGGGCAGTGCGCAACGCCAATGGTATGTGCTCCTACATATGAAGAAGGCACACATGCATGCAGTCAGCAAGGAGGGCCATCTGATCACTCAGCTGCAACCCTAATTCCCATTAGTCCTTTAGGATCCAGCTTGAGCTTCGAAGAAATTACCTGATAGTATGATCATATCATTTTGGCTCAACCCTTTCCTGGCGAAGGAATTGGTGAGCCTGGCGAGATTGAGATCCGCAGTAGGGAGATCGGCGGTGTCAACTGATCTGGAGATCCTTCCATCTCTCCTTCCCGCGGGGACTTGGTAGAAGATTCCTCCATACTGCGTAACACAAGATTCTACGTTATAAATAAAGCGCGTGAACTATGAATAAGTTTGTCTCAGCTCCCTTTTGCTCTGTTTACTACTCAAGTTCACTTGTAGCATCGTTGTTGTCGTTTCTTTCTTTGCTCTAATCTTTGTACGAGTAAGGAATCAGAGAGCGTTACATGTGCAACACTGTCCCTGGCAACGAATGCAAGAATGTCGGCACATGAGACTACTCCTTTGCAGACAGCCTCCAATTTCTTCTTGGCCTTGTCGATGACTTGGAACGCTTCATCTTCGATGGTCTGGTTGATTTCTGCGTCCTTCTCGGCGGTGTTGCCATTGGTGGAGTCGATAAGAACTGACCCATCACACCCCTGATATGGTCAAAGCACAGTGTCAGTCTCACTCGCTCCGGGAACCAGCTGCTGCTCAGTAAGTGTCGATGAAGAGAGTGAAGGAACTAACCCTTACGAAGCAGTCATGGAAATGCATCCTGAGGAGGTCAGCGCCGATGCCAGAGTCCTCCTCGAGAGCGTCGTTGAGCGCCTCCTTGACGATGGCCTCAGCTTGAGGGCAGCTATAGGAATAGAAACCGACATTGAGAACTCCGGCTTCTGTGATGGCGGCGCTCAGGTACAGAGCCGCCATTAGGGCAAGCAACATCTCTCCTCTCCCCCAACCCATCTCTCTTCCTCTTCCCACAGCTGATCACTTCTCCAACTCTTAATAATGAGCTCGCGATGAGTGCGATGGTGCACCAAGGTCCATTACACCGTTACAGCTTTGGGACGCAAGACACGTACCTCGTGTTCTCTTTATTTCTTTGCATCCAATTCCCCAAGCACAAAAGCTGGAAGTGATGTGCGACGGACAACCGCTGCCTTCCAAAGTTATCATGACATTAAATCTATACATGAACCAGTCAGTCTTCGATAAGTGATGACCCGTTCCACCAGATTAAACTCGTGCAATCCTTTTCGCGAACTGTGTCGGTGTGCACGTTTTTCTGTAAGTGATGCCTCTTTCGTGGTACATAACGACGGTAAACAAGTAGGGAAATCAAGTATCTGCTATTCCATGACGTAAAACATGTCTATGTCGGGGAGGGTAGTAAACTTTGGCGTCTACCTAACAAAGCCATCGAGGACAAGTCAAAGACATAAGGTAACGTGTACTTATCCAAATATTTAGGGTTGACAGTGTCAAATATATGCTATAAAGTGTGAACCAAAGTGAGTGAAAGGAGTAGGATTGACGTCGATATCATGACACAGACATGGATGGAGATGGTTGACGCAGTAGAGGTAATGGACAAGGAGGGGGCTCGACCTAGTTGCCCACGTCAATGGAGGACATGTCGACGCGATGTAGATAAAGCTTGGAAGAAAGAGAAGTCCGTAAGCAACCGATGCTTTTAGTTGGTCCAGTAACGGGTCTCCAGTTGCACTCACAGATTAATCCATTCTCTCAATCCCATACATTGTCCTCGGTTGGAAGACTAGGGAAAAGCTGCAACGACACGGAATCCTGGTCTAAACTTGTGTGCGTTCTATTCCACATATGTTTCATGCAAATAGCGAATATAGATCCTTTCGAAGTTTGTGCAGACCTGAAACTTTGTGAAGGATGCATGCATCAGTTCTTAGGTTTACGTCTTATCGCTGTCTTTTAGTCTTTTCTCGTGCCTGCTTGCTCGTCATGTCACTTGGCAACTCGTGCATTTTGTGACAACACTTGTCGTGAAACTTCGGTCTATCATTTGTGCGGTTAAATTACTAGTGATAATATTAGGCTTGCAGGAAATTAAAAGTTCATCTGTCCTTTCAGATATTTCATGGCTTTTAGTCTTCATCCATGAATAGGGTTTTGCTGTTATGTTGTTTCTCTCAAGATGCATGAACTTATTTTTACAGTAGATGACTCGTTCGTCTCTCTTTTTCTCTTCTGTTTTCTTATCTTTCTTAAATTCCTATAGGAGAGGACGGAGATAAAGAGGATGGATCACATTGCAAATCACATTCCAGTTGATTTAACACTTGGTGTAAGCGAAGTACATTTGTTAGGAGAGTTCAGAGTCGAATCTAAATGAGCACAATTTTCTTATTCAAGTGGGATCTCTTTTGGACCCTTCTTCTGGTCAATGGTGCCCATCTCCACCTACCTATACTTAATGAGTTGGAGCCCCTTTTACTAATCATAATAATTAAGCCCAACAATGATGATGTTAAGTAAAGAATATAAATAAATTGAGAGGAAAATATTTAAATGAAGAAAACGTGAGAACACCAAACATGTTTATCTAACACTAATTTTTTTTAAAATAGATTGAAATAAAATTTTGTTATATTTAATGATATGCATGATGTTTATCAACTGTGGAACAATGCACTGATTAATCAAATGCCTCAATAGAGATGCCTAACATTAGTTAATAAAATAAAGTTCTTATTTTTAGTTAATAAATTAAGACCAAGTCATCTCAATTACAACAACAACAATGATAATATTTAAAAATAAAAAAAAAAGTGGAGAGGAAAATTTCCTAACAGCAAAAAACAAAGTGAGGATGCCAAAATGGGAAAAAAAAAATCATGTTTGTAGTAATTTCCAAATGAAATAAAGCATGTAATTTTGTTCCTCTGAAGTTTGTGATTTCACATTTAATTAACCCTCTAAATTTAATTAGTATATATCTTTTAAATAGAATTAATCATTGTAATTAGTATTCATCAACTCACCATCAGTATAATAATATTGAATCTCCTCCAATTGACATCCTTTTAAAATATTAGAAAAGAAAGAGTCAAATAATAAGTGAAAGTGAAACCGATAGTGACCAAGATTCATTAAATGAATGCTAAAAATTGTGATGTATACGAAGAATTTAAATATTTGACGAATAGATAGATATGCAAAATCATCTTAGAACAACGACACCATGGGTATCTATAACTATTGTCGATTAGTTTTTGAGCTTGTTCTTATCTACAAGTTTATTAGATAGATTCATTTATTTATTTGATAAAAGATATTTCTTTCTCGGCATTTAATTCCATGTCACGAAGCGTTGATGAGACTCTATATGCATTAATTATAAATGTTCTTCAACTCACCTAATCCAAACATGGATCTTTAATTAGGATCCATTAACCATAAATGTGTCTAACAAATGTTATACCGGGTAACGTGTATAAATCTGATACCCAACCCGAGATATAGTATATGGATCGTCATTTCTGGATCCGCAGGTTTATTGGTTCGGGCCCAGATAATCAAACCCGATAACATCCCCGCATACAAATCCACGTTCTCTTTATCCAAAGCCATTGTGCGGACGGCGAGAGAGCCGCGGGAGCGAAGATGCCCGGCCCGGTAGTCCACGGCGAAGAAGAGCAGCTCCTCTCCGCCCAAGAGAAACAGGAGGAGGAGGAGCAGCAGCTGCAAGAACAACAACAGGGAGAGCGAAAGGTCCGGCGACTCACATTGCCCTTTCACTTCGAAATACCGTTGTTCGTTTCTACATTGTGGAAGCATAATGAGGGTCTTTGCAGGAGGACGACGCTCCCATCGTCGAGGACGTCAAGGAGGATGACAGCGACAACGAGGACGACGACGACGACGATGATGACGGCGGCGGCACCGAAGGTGAACTTGCACACACTCTCTCTCGTACTCCATCCTCTCCTTTATGTCACATTTTTCCAGAGATTTTGGACCTCAATTTGGACGGCATCGATTTGGCTGTTGCAGAAATGGGTCTCTTTTAGGGTTTTGTAATTGCTCGAGTGGTTCGAATTCTAGTGGTTGTTCAGATGAACTTGTTAGAGATGCAAGAGAGGAAGGGGAAGTTGGAATCGCACCTTGATTAGGAAACATAGATATGTTGAGCTTTTGCTCACATCTCTATAAAAAAAATTAAAGATATTTATCTCTGGTTGGATACTCTCTCATAAGGGAGATAAAAGTGGAGAAGAGCCATCCAAGAAGAAAGGGAAAAGTCGATACCTCTACCAGTTAGGACATGGAGTGAGAAATGATGATTTCTTTAATACCTCTGCTTTCGATTCAAAAAGAAGAGGGAGGGGTCCGAGAAATTGGATTGTGGATTCCTCTGTTAATATTTGCTGCTCTCTGTTTCAGTCCTGGGTATGGTCGTAACTGTTTATATACAAACCGTGGTGATGCTAATGGACTTCAACACGTTTCATGCCAAAGACAAAATTAACAAGGCTAGTAGTTACACCAGTGTAAGTAGCCTTTTTCATTAAAATCTTAGCCATAATCTGTATCGCATGTCCTAACAATTAGACATGCCAAGTTTGACTAAAGCATTCACTTTTACTAGCAACCTCTTTAGTTCTTCCTGCATTCTGCCACATTGTTTTTGGCCCATGCCCTGACAGTATCCTTGACATTCTTGATCTTCTTTAGCCAGAGTATTTGCAGAGTAATCAACCAAATGTAAAGCAGCATTCCATGTTCCATCGGTGAGGATGGGAAGGAAGTTTCATAGGAGAACCACAATCTCTGATATAAACTAGATTAATGTGGCTTAACCTATTTTCTTGATATAGAGTCCACTATAATTTTTAACTTGGCAAATCATGCTGCTGCTTTGTATGATAATGCAGCTTAAGTTTGTCAAAGGTTTAATTTGTGTCACTTAGGTGACATAGCCAATTTGTCTACTCTTTATTTTTAATTCACAAATTGCTGCTACTAGAGTTCATTATGAGAAGGCATAATCTGTGTTTAAAAATTGTTACAAGGGTTGTATGGTTTGACCTATTTAATGAGCCTGTTGGATTTTCTTTTGTTTTCTTTACTCAATAGGTGACCATGGAGCAAGTGGAAATGACACCACCACTAAGCAGAGCAGGAGTGAGAAAAAGAGCCGCAAGGCGATGTTGAAGCTAGGGATGAAACCTGTCACAGGAGTCAGCAGAGTTACTATAAAGAGAAACAAAAATGTAAGTATGCTAAAAATTCCAGAAAGATGGATCTAACATCAAAACACATTCTACCAACATAATTACTATAATTATCTTCTGGTCTAGGTGAAGGTACAGTAATTCAATATTCAAAACTCATGGTGATAATAATCATTGAAGTTCTTCTTGGACTAAATCACATTGATCACAAGTAAAAATGATGAATCTCCAGCCATCACAAACCTTACCTGTAGCTTGCTAAATGCTCCAGCTTGCTTGGCATGTAAAAGAATTGTGTGAAGTTGACAATTTGATGAGAAGCTTCTACAAACTATATTTCTATGATATGGAGTCGGTTATCTTCTAGGTTTAGTTAGCACTTATGGAAACTAATATTACAAGTTTTATCGTAACAGTTGTTTTTCATTGTAAATTTTCATTGCCACTACATTTATTCCTTTTTTTTGTCAACTAGATATTGTTTGTCATCTCAAAACCTGATGTCTTCAAGAGCCCCAATTCTGATACATATGTCATCTTTGGAGAGGCAAAAATAGAGGACCTGAGCTCCCATCTGCAAACCCAAGCTGCTCAACAATTCAGGATTCCGGACCTCAGCAACAAGATGGCTAAGGTGGACGTATCTTCTAGTGCAACGACTGGGGGGGAAGAAGAGGAAGTTGATGAGAGTGGACTGGAACCTCGGGACATTGATCTTGTCATGACACAGGCTGGTGTGTCCAGAGCAAAGGCTGTCAAAGCTCTAAAGACAAACAATGGAGATATTGTCAGTGCTATTATGGAGCTCACTGCCTAGTAAGAATCATCAATTTAGATAGATCGCGAGCATTATTTTGGATACTGCAGTTGGGAGTTTATTGAGTTGTTTGGAATATGGAATTTTCAAATTTGCATCTGCCACTTCGTATCTTATGGAAGTAATATGGTCTCGTCTCAAACTCATGATCTTATTTGAGTGACCAATGCTTTGTTTTTCTGAGAGATGTTCATTTCTTTGTCATGCTCAAATTGATCTATTTCTTTTGTTATGCTACGGAACATTTTACTGACAATATGCCTGTGAATTTCGAGCAATCCTTTTTGGTTTTGAACTATGTAAAGAAATTAAAGCTCTTTTTCTTTTCACAAAGCATCTGTCGGATTTGGATGATTGCCAACTAAAGTTATTATTTGCACTGATGCTCGTAATTAAGAGTAAAAAATAAAATATTAATTTAACCGTTTGGCATTTGACATTTTTCATTGAACGCTTCTTTTTTTGTAGTACATTTCCAGTTTTGGTTCTTGTGGTAGGTCAAAACGGAGTGAGTTGGTCATTATTAGCCAAAAGATGATGGAATATCAGAAAAAGGTGATGCATATCATAATTGAAAATTATATCATAATTGGTCATACAAAATATTTATATCATAAATTGAAATCAATAGAGTACTTTGGATATAGTGTAGTATCTTCTTGTGATTTGCACTGTATATTCTCATCATGATATTGCACATATTGTGAATCTATACAATAAAAAACTATACTTTGTTTTCTTAGGACTAAGATTATTGATGGATTAAAGAGACCAAGCGATAACAAAGGGCTTAGAAAAAAATAATTATGAGAGTTCCATCAAAATTGTTTCTTAATGTTTCATGAACTTCTTTTCTATTGAGTAGTACCTTAATTAGAATCTAATTAAAATTTTAATATATTATAATCAATTAAATAAAGTTATATAATTCCATATTCTCCCACTTAACCTATTAACTGATAATATATCAAACAAAGGGTTAAAAAATCAAAATAATTAAATTAAAATTTAATTAAAATAGGCTAATTTTAAAAATATTTTACATATATATATAAACATAATAATACTATATTAAGTCTAACAATCAATATGAGTTATAGCAATTCTATGTTATCAACGTCATACTCTTTTCTATATACTATAACATTATCAGTTTTATCTAATAAAGTTCAAAATGACTTTTATAATTTATTTTATCAAGATAATCCTAGTATCAAATTCAATCATAATATATATACATAAATATAAACTAAAAGTAAAATACTTTAATTATATAAGTAAAAAATTATTTTTTCTAAACTATTCTTTAAACATCTAGTACTTTATGTTAATATGCTTAGAACAACTAGAATACTCATCATCTTTAAAAAAAAAATACTAATAAAATATTTTAAATGACTTGACAATTAAATATGATCACACCAAGGCCTATGATAAAATTTCACTATCATAAAGCTTGATTAGTGGACTCAAAGCATGCAAAAAAATAATTTCTATTATTCAATAATATAATAATATATTATTTTAAATTTTTAATTATCCTTTCAATTAATATAAATATAAATATAAAAGTAGATTTTGTACTCTTGAGATAATTTACAAAAATAACATATAAAAAATCATTATTTCAAGCTTATCTTGTCTCATGTATATGAGCATATAGCCATTTATCCTTTGTAAATATTTTATTATTATTTTTACACATTTTAATATTTTATTTTTAGGTAACTCTAATATTACTTCAATTATAAAACTAATATATAGTCTAATATAACCTTAAATATATAATAGATTTTTAATTGCCTATGCTAAGAAATATTTTTTTCTTTTTCAGATCATTTTAAAAACAATGGTTTTGGTTGAAATTTTTATTTTGACATTTGTTAAATAAAATTACTGGACTCGATCAATTACATACTAACTCTAATATCTACTCACTATTCGGTGGTCAAAATCTTAATTGAGGTCAAAATAGAGATCTGGATCAAAATCTCAATTTGGAGCAGATTTGGTCAAAATTGATTATGACCAAAGTCAAAATCACATCTGCGATAACTTCGTGACCTCCAGCGTCTTGTTAACGGTAGCCCGGCGACGTCCAAAACCACTACGCACGGCCAACTCCCCATGGGCTCCTTTTATGGCGCTCTCTTCGCAGCCAATAGCACGTCAACGATGTGGTACAATCCAAGTTCAAAGATGCAACATAATTGGATGGCATGATGGAGCGATCATATGATCAGAACAAAAATAATATTATAATATAAATTAAATAGATCTAATACATAAATATATCTAAAACCTTTTGAACACGATATCATAATATAAGGACTAGACTTTCCTTCCCTTTCTATTATTAATAGAGTAGAAGAAAAGTCATATAGATCTCAGACCTATATATATATATATATATATATATGAGAACAGGAGTAGTAGAAAAAGATAATTAGGAGAGTTATAACGATTAAAATCATCTCCTAAGATTTTATAATATAAATAAATTTATTTCTATTGATCAATAATCTTAATTAAAATTTAATTAAAGCTTTAATATAACTTAATCAATTAAATAGAATGATATAATCTTGACCGCAAATACTCCAATTGTTATCTGTGTGAACTAAAGAGACGACCAAGCACAGTGGAAAGGCTTTTTTGACGGGCTTACGTTACATAGAGGTATCTCAGGCTGCGGTTGGTGTGATTTGGAGCTTTGATTCTTGCTGCAACAAAGTTCACCAACAACAGTTTCCTCTTCCTAAAGCTGCCATCTAACTCTGTGGTTAGTTCACCAATGCCGTACCCTTTTTTGGCTATACTTGAATCTAGAATTAAGGTCAAGGTATGGGAAAGAGAGAAGGCAAAAGACTGACCCCACAAAGAGAGAGAGAGAGAGAGAGAGAGAGAGAGAGAGAGA